GAGAGAGAGAAAGAGCGGCTCAGCTGCGGCTGCGGCCACTGCCGTCGGCGAGCTGAGCCAACTCTCTGCGCAGATGCGACTCGTCCGTTGGGCGGGGGCCATTCAGCGAAGAAGAGATGCGAAGAAGAACTGAAAGGCTGATCGGCACCGGCTCCTCGTCAGAGCGATGTACCAATTTCTATTTGGAAGGCAGCCATCAGATCGTCATCATCGAAATCATTTCTGTGTGGGCAGAAAGAAATACTCGCTTCATCATCACGAAAGATGTCAATGATGGACGTCGAGGGAGAATCATTACTTCCACTGCCACTGCAGTAATTGAGCTGCCCATCATCATCATCATCATCAAATTGCAGTGTTTATTTTTTATATAGAAATGAAAAAGAACAGTTTCAGACGGGTGTGTATGTAATGAAAAGAGAAAGAGAGAGAATTACCGAACTATCAGTTCGGGCAGACATTGCAAAGTGGTAAAGGCAACATAAATGTCATGGTTGGCATATAGTAAATTACAAAAAATGGTTGTCAAGCAGTCATCAAACACGTGTGTATAAAACAGACGAAAAAGAAAAGAAGAAAAATTAAAGTCAGCTATCAAGTGGAAATGGGTTAATAGAGGTGAAGGTGGAGGTGTTCCGAAATTTAGTCGATTGGATTGGCGGGAGTGTGATTTGGCGGGATAGAGCAATTTAGGCGATAAAATAGTATAAGAATAAATAGTCCAGAGGAGAGGTTAGGAGAGAGGAAGGAAAGGCGGTAGGCAAACTGCAAAAGCACAGAGAGAGCACACTCTTCAGGCAAAGAGCTTATCGAAGCAGGAGTGACAGTACGGCTTCTCTTGGTGCTTCTTGAAGGTGCCCTTGTTCAGCTGCTTCAGACAGAAGACGCAGGTAAAGTGCTCCGGGTGGAACTTCTGAAACATGGCGGTGATGCACCGACCGGTGATCGGCTTCCGACAGGTGGCACACAGGGTGCCGCGCTTGTCGTGGTAGTGCGACTCGCAGAAGGGCTCACCCTCAATGTCGAAGTAATTGCCGCCGTCAAAGGGCAGGTGACAGTCCTGAAGGGGTACAGAGCAACTGGTTAGTAAGAGGTAAACAACTCAACTCCAAGGAGGCACAAACCCTGCAGACGAAGCAGTTGGAGTGCCAGTGGCCGCCCAGCGCCGACACGTAATTGTCGACAATGGGCTGCGCACAGCCGGAGCACTTGGGCGCAAAGAGCTTGAAGAAGTCCTCCCGACAGTAGGCATTGCCCGCCTTCTCGTGGTAGCCATCATCGCCAAAGTTCTGTCCACAGTGGGCGCAGAAGAAGTGCTCCGGATGCCAGGTCTTGTCGAGGGCGGTGATGCATCGCTAATTGGTCCGTGGGTGGACAAATGAACAAATGAATGTAATTAGCAACAAATAACAACACCCTCATCACCATCACCACTACTTACGTCAAGAATGGCCTGATTGCAGTAGTTACACTTGGGGGAAAAGAGCTTGTGGTAGTCCTGCTCGCAGTACGCCAAACCCTCTCGCTCAAAGAAACTCTGGTTGCCCAGTTGTGTGTTGCACTTGGCACAGGTAAAGTGCTCCGGGTGGTAGATCTTGCCCATGGCGGTCACCACCTGACCGACGATCGCCCGGCCGCAGGCGCCACAGTCGCCCTTGGTGGTGGTGTCCACGCCGTGCCGGTTCAGGTCTGACTCCAGGTCGCCGATCATCGAGTCGAGGTCAGTCGAGTCGGGGTGGCGGTAGAGCACGTGCTGCCCGTTCTTTGCCGGCACCTGCACTCGTCCCAGCGCCACCAGATTCGATTTGCTCGGCTGGCTTGAGCCAGTGTTTATCTGATTCTTCATCTGGTTCATCTGGTGGGAAGTGATAAAGTTGTTGTTAGCACATTGGGGCACATTAGTTTACCACCACCGTTACCTTAAAGTCGGACAGTGAAGCCATCAGGTCGTCCAGCTCGCGCGTCGCATTGGAGGCGGTGGTGTGCGCCGGCAGAGGCACCTGAATCACCGGAGAGTTGTTCATGCGAACGTGCTGCGCCTGAATGTTGACCAGATTGCGATTGTACTCGGAGACGGGCTGAATTTGCGCAGACTGCGTCGGACTGGGCGATCGTGCCTTTGGCTGCATGGCTGCGTTCTCAAATGTTACCGTTTTAGATCTGTTTAAAAACAAAACAAAACGTTAGTTGGAGGATGTGTACAGGCAGAAAGGAAGCAAAGTGTTGCGGCTGATAAGAAACCCGATCACCGACACTTACTTGACTGGAGACGAAACGCCGTTGGTGGCGGGACTTTTCAGACTGTACTCAAGGTCCTTCAGTAGATCATTCATCTGACCACTGTCTGAGCGCTCACGACCGTAGGAGCCAGTGCGACTTCCACCATTGGCCATGTAATTTGGGCCACCGTTGACTGTGGTGAGGAGAAAGAGGAGAGAAAGAGATGGTCAAATGCGATTCGAGTTGAAGTTCAGGCAGTGAAAGAGAAAGAGTCAATGAGATAAATAGTCAGTCGATTGCGCAAGATAGCCATTGATTAGTGTGTGCGTGTGTGAGATAATAAATAAATTATTAAACATGTGCAGAGGCGGGTGACTACACTGGGCTACCACTATTCACCTTGAAATGTGATCATCTTCAACACTGCTGGTCACCGATAACAAAAAATAAAAAGCGATATGAAGTGTGCAAAGCGATAATCAAAAAAAAGCAAATCTACTGCCAAAAAGTGGCTCTTCACTAGTGTGTGTTCCACCAAAGTTTCAACAAGTGGCAACTTTGAAAAAAATGTGCAAGTACAACTCGGTCGCCGCTACTGCCAGCGACAAGTCAACTCACTAAATCAGCAGCAGCCCACACACACAAGCACAGTTTGGGCGAGATGGCCATTTAAAGAAGTGCCTGTGAATCGGCTGGTGAAGCACTGAACAGAGCCGTGGAACAGACAGACAAACACATAGTGTGTCAGCGCCTGTGGTCACACAAACACACACTCTCGGTGTCCAAAATGAGACATCGGCGGAAGGCAGCATTGGCAGTACTGAAAGGGAGAGAGAGAGAGAGAGAGAGAGAGAGAGAGAGAGAGAGAGAGAGAGAGAGAGGGAGAGAGAGAGAG